CCGCGACTCTTCACCTGTTCCTTCTGTTTGAATTGACTGAATTTGGCCACAATAGGCCGTGGTCTCCCGGTCCGCGACCGCGCGCCCCCCAAGCGATGTACTCTATCGAAGTCGATGTTCTTTACGGTGTCCTCCGGCAGCTTCAGGTGGATTTTAATGAAGCTTTTCACCGTTGCCTCTGCGTCCTCTCCGGCAGTTTCTGGAATACCAGAAAACACAAGATTATCTCTCATGCTACGGGCTTGTAGATCGATAACGGACTCTTTTATTTTTTTATTTTCAATGTTTAGCTGGGTCACGTTATCGGTGAGAGATTTAACCGACTCCCGTAGCGTGGCATTTTCAGCGGCAAGCGTTTCCACCTGCCGCTGGCTGAATTCCAGGGATTCTCTCAGAGATTTAAATTCCCGGTGTAAGATCTCCACCAGGGACAGCCTCGCATCGAAACTGGACAATCGCTTGTCGATTGACTCCAGGATTTCTGCGATGTCTTTGCCGGCAGGCGATGTTGTACCGGGGGAGTCTGCCTGGCGACTTCTCTTCGATGACGGCGTCTCGATTTTGGCCGGGGAAGATGCACTCTGGGCCTTATGCATTACTAAATCTTGAAAACAGCGGTCGATGTAATCTTGGAGAGCGTCTAAACTCTCCCCGTTGTCCTCCAGGGTGTTAGAGATGATAAAACAGATGTTGTTAGTTATATGACAATTGATTAGTATATTTGGTAATACTGAAGCTTGGAAAAACCTTTGTTAAACTCTATGCTACCATTTGCTTTTTCTCCGCCAAAATCTCCGGCGTCTGACGTCACCTACAACATCACTTCCGTCACTTACCTCACTTCCGTCCGTCCGTTCACTAATTAATATTTATAATACTAATTGATTAATCTTAATCTTTATTTTCCAAATTCTTTGTGCTCCTTTTATCCATTCAGTATTTCTGCTGCTGCCATGATTCTTTTCAGACAAAAATTCATACTTCTTGATATTCTTTTCCACCCAGTGCGGTGTCCAATTCAACCGCTTTGTAAGAGATCATCAACAAGGGTTAGGGGTGTATCTAACCCTGACCCTTCTGTGCAGTCACTCGGTCTGATGGGCAGTATTCTACACATAATGATCCCACAGCTGCACAAACTCCAAGTCCTGGACTGAGTTTGATCATAGAGTCTGATTTCTTATTCACTCAGGGGTCTTCTGGTGATATTCTGATGGATGTCTTTCTTTGTTTTAAACAATAATCTAATGCCTCCACCAACATGTTACTTAAGCTGAACTTCATTTGTGGCAGGCAGAGCTAGGACCCAAACATGACATAATGAACTAAAAGAGGCAGCTTTATTCAATGTACAAAAAAATAACTCTTGAAAACTAAATACAAGAAAACTAAACCAAAACTAGGAACTAGGAGTAGGGGTGGCTGTAGCTCAGGTGGCAAAGCAGGTCAGCCACTAATCAGAAAGTCGGTGGTTCGATCCCAGGCTGCCTCCTGGCTGCATGCCAAATATCCTTGGGCAAGATACTAACCCCATGTTTGCCTACTGGTGGTGGTCAGAGGGCCTGGTGGCGCCAGTGTCCGGCAGCCTCGCCTCTGTCAGTGCCCCAGGGCAGCTGTGGCTACAATGTAGCTTGCCATCGCCAGTGTGTGAATGTGTGTGTGAATGGGTGAATGACTGAATGTAGTGTGAAGCGCTTTGGGGTCCTTAGGGACTAGAAAAGCGCTATACAAATGCAGGCCATTTTACCATTTTAACTAGGGAAACAAGGAGCACAGAGCCAGGACCATGGCACCATCAGCTCCTCCATGACTGTGAGGTGAGTGAGCTCCAGACCTGAGATTACACAGCTCACATTGATCATATTCATCTGGGAGACAAGATGGGAAATGTGAAATAGTTCTGTGCTAAAAATACTGCAGGTGTCATTTTTTATTGAGTTTGAAAGTTTGAAAGCTGACAGTTTACAGGGTGAGTTTAGTTTCAGTGTTTTGATCATAATATTATGGAAGGTTTTTATCTGGGGCAGATTCTCATAATGAAGATATGTTTTACATTGTTTACCTTTGAGCTCAGTTTTAGTTCACTGTAATAACTCTGCATGACACAGAGAGGTGATCTGAACTACCATATAATGCTGTGGCAGGCAGGATGAGGATCAAATGCAGTATTGGATACACATGAGGATAAACTCAAAAGTCTTAACAAAAGCTTTATTTTGCTGGAAAACAAAAACAGAGCACTACAAAACAGAAACCTATACTGGAAAAATTTAAACTATCCAATCCAACTTTATTTATGAAGCACTTTAAAATACTCAGCACTGGACTAAAGTGCTGTACAGTGATCAAGCAATCAAATAGAGCAGCAAAAAACAACAACAACAACAAAAAAAAATCCCAAAACCAAACAAAAAAACCCCAGAGAATACAAAAAAATTAAAACAGCCCTATATTAAAAAAACAAGATAGCACCGAATCAACTAAAATTAAGTTACAAGGGAAAAAGGAGCAGACTGAAACCTCACAGCTATGAGGGAAGACACAACAACGGGCAGAGAAAAACACAGGGCTTAAAAGCACAAGGGAGTAACGAGGGAAGTAGAAACACATGGAGAACACAGCTGGGAAAGAAACTGAAAACACTAACATGGGACACGAGACTGAACTTGGAAGAGTTGCAAAACATTGGATTTCTACAGAGTAGAAATGTTTCTGAACAGTGAGCGAGGTAACAAAAGTGTATCAGTCAGTTTTATTTGTCATAATTTTATTTTATGTTATTAGTTAGTTAGTTTTATATTACTTAGTTATAATCAGAGATGGGCAGTAATGCGTTACACGCGTTACTGTAATCTGATTACTTTTTTCAAGTAACGAGTAAGGGATTACTATTGTAAAAACAGTAATTAGATTACCATTTTCCGTAGGAACGCTGCGTTACTGAGTTACTAAAACCGTGATTTTTTTGCGAGAATGTCTCATGACAGTGACGTAAGCGAGTGCGACGTTTGTGACAACAGCTGTGTGCAGATCAACAATGGATCATATATCGAGTGCGGGACAGACTATGAGCGTGCAGCGTTTAAAGCGTGGAAGTACTGACCTTACTTTGAGTTTGATTTCATAAAAAGTGACAAAAACATTACTTTGTTTCAAAAGTAATCAGTAAAGTAACGGGATTACTTTTTTGGGGAAGTAATCAGTAATTAGTTACTGATTAATTTTTTCAAAGTAACTTGACCAACACTAGTTATAATACAGCTAGTTCTGTTTTTTTGTTTTATTTAACTTTAATAACCTTGGTATAGAACTTTAAGAATTTGATCAGGCCAGCATTTAGATACATTTGGCTTAACTATGATATATAGTTCGGTCTCGGTCGTTGTGTCCTTGGGCAAGACACTTCACCTACCGCCTACTGGTGTTGGCCAGAAGGGCTGATGGCGCGATATGGCAGCCTCGCTTCTGTCAGTCTGCCCCAGGGCAGCTGTGGCTACAACTGTAGCTTGCCTCCACCAGTGTGTGAATGTGTGTGTGAATGGGTGGATGACTGGGTGTGTAAAGTGCTTTGGGGTCCCTAGGGGGGACTAGTAAAAGCACTATACAAATACAAATACAGGCCATATAAACATGATGATGTGCAATTTATTATGTGATTTACTATTTTTCACAGCAGAACACAGCCTGTAAAATCTAACAAAAATTTGATGTGCAGTTTCTGCTAATGTCCAACTGGAGGCATCATCAGGCCAGCAAACAGCAACACTGAAGCTCAGAAAACATTCTTTCTTTTTCTAATTTAAGTTCTGCACTGAGATGTAACTGTGCTGCAGGTTATCTTCAAATTATGTGATTTTCAAATGGAGTCTGGTATGAAGTCAGGTTACTGATTAAACAGCCTACGGAAAATATGAGCTGACCATTATCCAGTCAAGCTCCATTCAAAAATATAGTCCTGTTACACATTACCAGAAAGGAACACAGAGAGTGATGATTAAAGAGTTTTAGGTATTGATGCTCTCACTGTGAGCACCCTGCTGCTCACCTGATCAACAGACTCTTAAACACTGAAATGTCTCCACAAAGAATCTAAATATGAGACTGAATGATCAATCAGACTCTGCTGAGTATTTTTAACTTTCTAAGTCACATGAAAACCTCATAGAACTCCATTATTAAAAACACAGTTCTTGCAAGTTTTGTTTCCTACAGTGAATGTGAATAAATTGTTTTTTCAACACAAAATACTTCAAAATTTCTTGTTTTGTGTTGGTGAACAGAAACTCCAAAAGCCTGCACATTATCTATAGGTTGAAAGTATTTCAGGAGGAAATATGGAGAAATGTTTCTATAGCTGTACTGCAGCATGACTACATGTGAGGTCTTAAATAAATAAATAAACTGAGCAGTGCAGCAAATCTGAATAAAACTTCTGACTGTAGGGTTCTGAATGACAGTTGCAGATCTTCTATTTGACCTTCATGGAGTTTGGTTAATGACACACTTTAAGAATAAAAAGTTATAGTAAAACTGAGTGTTTTCTGAATTTTTCTGAATTACAGAGACTCAGATTATTTAAAGGTTTAAATGTTAAGTCAGAAATTTTTAAAAAAAATCATTAACCAATCAAACATTAAGCTCTCAAACTGCTGTTGTGAATCTAGGGGAAGTAACCTGCCTAGAAATGTTAAAATTCTCAATGAACATCTGCATTCATGCTGCATTACACACTCACTCACTCACTCAGGTTTCTGTAATGGTGGGGAGGAGTGTGTGCATGTTTCCTTTTGATATATCTCAATCAGCTGAACGAAGACCAAACAGACGCTGTGTAAAATAGAGAGGAGGGGGGAAGGAGGAAGGCAGCAGGGAGGCAGAACAAGTGACATCGCTGACTTCAAACGCCTTTCATAACATCCTGTCTACAGGCGACCTCACAGCGATGCTGTTGTTTCCAGTCAACCAATCACATTCTGCCTCTGCCTTGAGAGGAGGGTGATAACCCTCCTGACTGGGCCTGACTGCAGTGTGTCTCTCTGGGAACAGTGATGTGCGAGCTGGCCCACCTCCTGACAGCAGCAAGGTAAAGACCAGCACTCTCTGAAAGCCACAACATCACCATCATGGACCCTATCATCAGTGTTCTGGAGCTGGTGGGGGTTCTGATCTCAGCGGGGGCCTGGCTCTGCTCTCTGGCCACCACCCTGATGTCCTCATGGCTCACACTGTCCAACTTGCTGGTCACAGAGACTCTTGGGGTGGGCCTCTGGGAGACCTGCGTGCTCAATCAGCAGGGAACACTGGAGTGTAGGCCCTATGACAGTCTGCTGGGGCTGCGACCAGAGATCAAGCTAGCCCGGATCCTCATGTGCACAGCGCTAGGGGTAGGAATGCTGGGGCTTTTGCTTGCCATACCCAGCCTCCACCTTGTCAACGGCTGCCGGCAACAGTTGGAGGACGTGAGCTGTAAGAGGGCCCTGAAGGCAACCAGTGGGGCATTGTGGCTGGTGGCAGGGATCCTGGGCCTCATCCCAGTTTCCTACATCGCCCATGTGACGGTCGAACAGTTCTTCGATGAGTCAGTGCCTGACATGGTCCCACGATGGGAATTTGGGGATGCTCTGTTCTGTGGTTGGACGGCCGGCGTCCTTCATCTAGCTGCAGGAATGCTGCTGCTAATTTCCTGTTTTTATGTGCAGAAGTTAAACAGTAACAGACCCGTTGATGTCCCTCCGGTCCTGACAAAGCTAGAACCTGACTCCATGAGAACCAGATCTGAGTATGTCTGAGACCACCTCATAAAAAGGCTGCTACAAGTCTTCTTCAACCTTTTCTGCATCTAAAACTAAATGTTGGACTACCACACTTCAATTTGTGGCTCTTGAGATCAGATTGGAGTATTTCAGCGAATTTCCAGAAGGGATGTTACATTCCTGATTTTGAGGTTGTATCCAAAGAAGAGGTTAAAAATTTTCTTAAAACTAAACTTTACCCAAACAACTGTCACAACTAGATCTGAATAGAACAACAGGGAGGTCTGAGGTTGCTCCTCTAATTTGACAAAGTGAGACCAGATCAGGAGGTTCAGTCCAAACCTGCAGTAAAACAGATGATTTCTCTATAGAATTTCGATGGTTTCAGAGGTTTGAAAGATATAAGTTTAAAATGTTCTTGATCACAAACAGATGTAAATTTCCTTCTTAATCTGTTAGGAGGGATGGAGTTTCTCTCAAATAAAGCTTCAGACTAAATCAGAGTTTGTTTTTATTTTAATTTAACATCTAAAAATAACATCTAGGACAAAGATGTTCTTGCTGTTTAACTGCTTTGGTAGTTTAAACTAAAGAATCAGAGAGAAAATAAATCAGATCATTTTGTCCTGTTGTTAATTTGACTGCATGTAATCACCTTAAAATGATGAGAGATGCCAGTTTATAGTTCTGATTTCGGATGTTTATGAACAGCAGAAAAAAAAACCAGTGAACAATATTTGAGCAACACACCCAGACCTTCACGATCTGTCGAGCGTTTTATTCCCTGCGGTGACTTATCTTTGTTTCAATCATTGAGATGTTTGCTTTAGTTTTCCTGGAGCCAAAGAGATGAAAGCTGCTGCGGTTTCCTGCTTTATTCATTTCATTTAAACACTTTATGTAGTTTTTATTGTTAGTCTTAAGGCTGGATTTCATCTCTTTTATTGTTTTTATTTGGAGACAAGGGAAGACAAACTGTTGTTTTTGTGGTTAAAGCAGACTGAAGCAGAGAATAGATTTATTGATAATAGAATATAAAGATATATATCTTTTATCTTTAAACATGAAGGTCTGTGTGAGTTATGAAACTGCTCAACTTGTTTGTAATCAGTTTTGTTCAATCAGATGAATGATTTGTAAAAAGGATTGAATGTATGAATGTGCGCAGCAAATGACTGCAAATAATAAATAAATACTCAAAGTTTCATTTAATGTGTGTAAAAGAAGTTTTTGTGGACATTTAAAATGTGAGAGAGTAAACAGACTCACTAAAACCTTATTACAGATATACAGACAAAGTAGGACAACCTCAGGCAGGTTATCATATAAATACAGTCATAAATCAACACAACTGAGTTTTATATTTAAAGACAAAAAAAATAATTAAAAAATATGATTTATAAAATGAATGAAAATAGAACAGTTTTTGTTTTCAAAAAAGGGGGAACCGCGAGAGACCTTCAGCGACTCACACATGCAGGAAATTAGTAAACTATGAGGAAAGAAGTGGGCAAAAGAATCTGCAACGGTGAGCTGTTTTTGATTTGGGGGGAGTTTTCAAGCGGACCACGGAAAGGGAAAACCTCAAAATACGATGCCTAAATTAAGGACTGTCGTGGGAAGGACTCTTCTGTCCTTGGGTTTATGGGTTTTAGCACTTTGTACCGAAGCAAAGGCTGCAGAGGGGACGCCCGCCTGCAATGGGGGCTGAGCTCAGGAGCTGTGAGGAGGTTGTGTCCCTGGAGGTGGTCTGGTTGAAAACTCCAAATGGATGGAGTATGTGTTGTTTAAGAGAAAGAAAGATGTCAACAAAGAAAAGAGGCTGATTTGTGTGGGATGAATAATGAGAAGAGGGGTGTTAAATGTGGAAAAGTGGTGTTTTTACTGAATCAGAGAATGAAAGTGTTAGTGAGTAGTGATGAAAATGATATTAAATAAACGTTTTAGTGTGTTAGTACAGGTGGCTACGGAACTGGATCAATGTCCTCCACAAGCACAGTGGCCGGAGCAAAATGATAGCTTAACTTAATTGGAACCGCATCCAGTTGTGTTTTGGCTGAATATTACACAGCATCACTCCATGTACATCTTAACCTGAAGAACAAGCTTCGAGGACAATCAATCTCTCCCTGAAGACAAAATGCAGTTCGAGAGCAACGACGTCGACTTCAAGAGTCGACAATGTGAACACACAGCAACACTGCCCTAAACCTTAAACCTTAAAGGGTTGAGCAGCATGTACAAATATGGAAGCATCAGTTATTAATTAGCCAGAATCAGTGACTGCAGCAGCATTGCATAGCAGGTTTTAACCCCTACAGCATGTTATTTCACCTGAAAGCAAGACATTTTTCTTGCGATTTTTCTGGCAGATTTTTGGGTTTTGTTTTAGTACCAGGCCGATTTTGCCAGTTAGGTTTGGGTTGTTTTCTTTTTCTAAGAGAAAGACTGTTTTTTTTTTGTTGTTGTTGTTTTTTTTTGGGGGGGGGGGGTGGGGGGGTTTACACTTAGAACCGGGCCTAATATGTTTTTTTGTAACAGTGCACTTAGGAAAAAACATGCCAGGTATCATCCCTCTGGGGGTGATATTTTGTGTGTTGGTGATTTAAAAGCAGGCCTGCAAGATTGGGAGTAAAAGGCTATAAAATACTTTAATTCTGAGCAAATATAAGGTGAGCTTCTCTAGATTACAATGGCTTCTGAGGAAATTCACCTACCTAGGATGCTGACCATATTATATGGTAAGTCCTGTGTTTAAAAGGATTGTAGTGATTCAATCCCTTTCAAAAGCAATAAGAATTGTTCTTATTTTTGTAACATTGCTGCCAGTGGATATTTACATTCGTGCGCAGTTTTCCACTATCAGCAATAACTGGTATGAATGCATGTGATTGGACGGTGGCTGGACTGATGATGTGGACCAGGGTTTTAATAGTTTTGCAATTTTCATTAGTTTTTATTTTTATTTCGTTTTGACTTCAGATTTTCAATTTTATATTAGTTTTAATTAGATTTTAAAGGGAGGGGGGATGAGTGTGTGCATATCAGTGTATATGTATGTGTGTACGTGTCCAGAGTTCAGCTGAGACAGTGTTCTTCGCCCTGCTAGGCTAAGTAAACAGTCTTCCAGCCAACCCAGGTGGCATTGCATGGAATGGGAAGGAACAGACTAAAACCAGTCGTTATCAGGGAGTTTTTGTTCGGCTCCAGCCTTGAGACCGCAGCTGGCACCGAAAGGGTATCCGCATGAAGTGATGGTGCTTTTTACTTTAGTGCGAACAGCTCATATGAATTTCAAAGCAGTTCTAAAGTCCAACACTGGTCTCTCAATCTCCCGTTGGAGAGCCGCAAGCTTCGCCATACTTGCGCTCTGTGATGTTGTCATTCTTGTGCTCAAAGAGCCGATTCTGAGAACTCACGACAGTGTGCCTCCCCAAGATGTCATCCAATTTGCGCTCAGAGGTGTTATTCCGAGTGAGCCCTTCCGAGATGTAATCCAGTCTGCACTCAGAGATCTTATTCTGAGTATTCACGGCAGCCGTAAGCCTTTCCAAGATCTTATCCGTGCTGACTCAATGAGCCCATTTTGAGAAACTCACGCCTCTCCCATCGTTCCAATCCTAGCTGGCAGCCTTGTGGGGGTTTGAACAGCTGGTTCCGTTTTCTTAATTCTTCAATAAGTCAGGGCCAAGCCAACTCCGATCAGCCAGAACCCTGTTATCATGGTTCTGAATAGGTAGATATCTTCAGCACTCAGGCTCACCCAAGCCCAAACTTCTCGTTGAGAAAGGGGTGTCAGTTACATTTAGGGACCAGTTGATCACATCCATAATTCCTCTTTTAGGTTTTAGAGAGCAGACTGTGAGAGAATGTTCCAGGGAAAAGTAATATAAAAAAACATGAGACTAGACAAGGACACAAGAGGCTAAGGGAGAGGAGGAGAGGAGAAAAGTGCGACCGCCTTCGTCAAGAGCAAGAGCATAGGAAACACTCATGGCGTAGCTGACAGCCCAGGCAGTGGTTGACATCAAAGGTCGTGCGGTTTGGGGCCCTACTAGTCATCATGAGAAGATTCCAGAACCACAGCAATAACCATAAAGATGCATTGGAACAGGAGGGTGAGGGGTGAAAAGAGCGCCCTCCTCCAACAACGGCGTGCCAAGCTCCAACTCAGTGAGTGAGACTCTGTGTCACCCAAGAGGGATCAGCGAATGAATGCAGATGACACCTTATTAAAAACAAAATCAGGCAGTTGTGCCTGAATTAGTTCCGTGTGTTTTTGAGTTAAGGTGGTCATTGGTGTGACGTTTCTAATCATCTTATAAATGATATGCATTTACATGACTCATTTACATGACTTAAGCGCTTTGGGGTCCTATGGACTAGAAAAGCGCTATACAAATGCAGGCCATTTATTTTACCATGACTCTCTGAACATCACAAACTCTGTTAGAGTCCTGAGCCTGAGTAGAAGTGACTGGAGTAGTTATAGCATGCAAGTTTTACTGCAACCTAACTAATAATTATTTGTGTATATTTTGTAGGGTAGCTAGACTGATTTTCTAGCATGTCAGTTCCTGATGCGTAAGTGAATTAGGTCCTCATTGTCTGAGTAAACATAATAACAACAGTTGTGAGTTCTTTGACATGTGTACTTAACTTTGACACATTGTTTGACACCCTAAAGTAGGATTTTGGGTTCATCACATTTCATTGAGGCATGATAGGCCTCAAACATGCTGGAAGCATGTTCTTCTGGAGTTAAATGTGGTTGTTTTGGTTTCCCGAATCACTGATGTGGGCACAGTAAAGATAATTGTAAATGCCTTTGAGAGGGTTTACACTGTTTAAATGGGTCGATTGCCCTACAATAGTAAAGAGTACAGTACACTGCATAGATAGAGAGGAAAGATCGATCTCTCTGTTGTAAATTTAGCTCAGAAGTGTTTAATATATGTTGGCTGTGTGGAAATTCATGGCTACTTATGGGTTTTACCCCAGACTTTGGGAAGCACTAAGATTGACGTTAGTTTATGTTTGTGGTATTCACTTACCTATAGGTACAAATATAGTCACTGTCCTTTATGGCAAACATCTGGACAGGGCAAAACAAATGGCACAAAGGAGTGTGTGTGATGTTTGGTGAGGCATGTGTGCCTCAATCCCCAATAACACTGGGGATGAGGGTCTTTTACAGAAACAGTTAATAAATTAGGAAACATGGGTTGATGGATTTAATGATAAAGTGGAAAATATATCACACACTGAAAGACTTCCTTATCTAAACAACGGGTTCTTATGAAAGAGCAGCTTGATGTAACTAAGGTTGAAGGGTTGTTTTTTTTTTGCAGATGAACAACGAAGGCTGTTTCATTTCTGTATATGGTCTCATATTGTGTTTTCTTTTATGATATAACTGCCATCCTTTGAAGAAAGGGTGGAGGCTCAGATGGAGCGAAGATGACCATAAAGTGTGAATTTGTTTTTTTTCCTTCTGA